ACACATAATAAAATTATGGAGTGATTCCAGATCAAAACAATATTTACATATAGTATAGATAATATGAATAGACAAAATTTAGAAAATCTATATAAAGATCAACTTATTGAAATTATACTTAATCAAAATCAAACACCTATTATAAAGTATCAACCTAAAACATTAAATCAAACCAAGGATTATTTTTTTCATCATGTAGAACTTGAATCGATCCAATTTTTGAATTTTTAAAATTACGGGAAATCATTTCCATTACTATATATTTAAAATATATTTTTTAAATAGCTTGTAAATCTTTTAGAGGAATCCAACTATTGAAATCATCATCATAACCTGTCCATTTAACCAGAGATTTTTTATTTTTGTAATCTCTCTCCACAACTTTATCAATTCTGAACATTTCTTGTTTAGTTTTCAATAATTCAGGCTCATAGAAACGTCCTTTAATTTTTTCACTACTTACTGAAATATTTTAATTGATAGGTAATTGGGTTTGTATATTTTATCTTGTCAATAATGAATATCTCTTCTGTCCAATTCGGTGTATAACCTTTATCAAACAACTGTCTTTTATATTTTGATATTCGAACCTTATAAAATGTGCATTCAATGTATAGCCTAAGTTTTATTTTGAGTTGGCTAATTTTTTTAACAAATACCGAGCATTTTCAAAGTAATCTTCTGTCAAAATTTTGTCATAGTAAACCAGTGAAAGTCTAGATGGTCTAATGAATACTTTTTTAGATCAAGAGAATTGGTTGTTGTGTTTCGTGTTTTCATGTCGCAACAACTCCACTTCTAGGATATTTATTTGTTTGCTATATATCATGAGAGGCTATTATCTGAAACTTTTCATTCTCTTTAATGTGGCCAATAACAACATCAACTCAACTTTAAAGCTAAAGAAAAAACTTGATGTTTGGAATTAATTTCTATAATATTGTACTTATGAAATCCATATATTTTTTAGGAGATATTTTCATTGTTGAATTCTAACTCTCTCTTTATTCTCAAGTTTGAAATAAGATATTCTAGTTCTAGCTTGTGTTCGATCAAATCAATCTTTCGCATGGCACGAAACAGATTGTAGACAGATTTTATATTTCAGTGGCTATAGTTGCCAGGATCATGGATTGGCTAGGTTTAAAGACACTGGCATAAGCAGTAAGAGGTCACCGAATCAAGTAACAGAAAAATCTAAAGCGTCAGGGAAAGGACAATCACGAAACCAAAGAGAAGACATTAAAAGTTGAAAGTGACTTTCCTTTTTAATTTTCTACACTAACTCAGCGAAGTTTGACACGTTGGAGAAAAATTAGTGTAGCAAACAGTCATACCTGGTTACATCAAGAGAAGATATGAGAGAAGCCCATACGACTCCCGTGTAATGTTTTAATGCCTCACTCTTCTCACGTGTACCCCTTGATCAATCGACCTGTGACATCTTAACTCAGAGTCGTTTACTCGCGTTTCTTTCAATTTTGGCTCATTTTTACCAAACCGGAATTATCATTTACGCTCAATAAAATATAATTTCAACCAATACCGACATCATACACTATATCTAAAGAAGAAAACATTCCCTATCCTGTGTGATCAGAGTTTTTGAACATAAGCCAAATTGGATGTTACAGCTATCTTCGAAAGGCTTATTATAAGAGTGAATACATTTTGCAATTATGGACTGAAACCATTTATATTTTACAGACTACCTATATATTTATGTTATTGCTAATGACAGATAAATGCAAAAATAAATACTTGACCCTTTTATATCTTCAACATCTAAGAGGAATTGTTTATGTACGTGATTCACAACAAGTGCGTTCAAGAGTGACCATACCAGAAAAGTATAGTATGTAAAGTACAAATTGTATTAGCCTCATTATCTCCGTTAGTTACTTTACAGTAAAAAAAAAACTTACCAGAGACTAATTCTTCGGAAAGTCTTCTCTCAAGTCTTCTCTGGCAAGTTAGAGACAGTTTCAATGCAGATGGCTTTGTCTCAGTTCAAGGCGCCTTTGTAAAAACCCTTGGCTTGCTGAAACAATGACATATCATAATGATGTGACCACGTGTTACCATGTCTGGTGTTTATTGGTCTAGTTACTAGGGTATCTAAAGATAATAATACTGCGGTACACTCTGTTGATAGTGACATAGTTTAAGGAGTCATTCATCTAACTGTGCGTTCCAAGGTAGTGTCAAATCATTGGGTGTTTCCAAAACTAAGATTTAGGAGCACCCTTCTCACCACAAATGATATTCTGTCCGAGCACTAGCTAATGGCTGGAGTCGCACAGGCCTATCAACACCTCTTTTGCTTTCCGGCTACCGCCGTGTTAATTTACGCAAGGTACGGTTATTCATTGATCAAATGACTCCTTTCCTTACACGAATTCAATTGTTCTTCTTTCTGTGATCAAGATAATAGATTTACCATACAATACTCGCGACTGTTTCCTTTACTTGCCTTTACTTAGGAAAGTAGATTTACAACACGATTGAGTACATATAGAAAATGTCTTCAAAGTGGTAACGTTATGCAACCCAAGACACAAAACACAACAAACGTGGCGCAGTGCACTCTGGTTAAATGCAATGCTTCTTTCTGGTTAAAAGTGATGCATTCTGGTAAAAAGTGATGAATTCGTCTCGGAGATTATTCGACGATATTCATCGAACCTGAGGCGAATAATTGTTTTAGTATAATTTCAGAGCTGAACAACAGAGAAATTTCTCAAATCATAACATTTTAGTAACATTTATTAACATTTTATTTTAACATTTTATATAAAACGCGTGGAGCGGTTTATATAGCGTCATATAAGGAACCGCTCGACCAATCAGATTGCTGGAAACTCTTTGCTTAGCTCTGAAATTATACTAAATGCAAATAGATTGCGATGTAGAAATTCTAAATGAGAGCTCGTCGTATTTGCCTGAGTATCTTTGCACATTTGGAATAAGCTACAGTCTTTAATATAAGCTGATATCAATTTTCCTTTTTTCTCGCATGGGCAGCAATGACTTCTCAAGATACTTGTAACGAAACAAAGAAAGATAATATCGGTACAAGCTCTTTCTCACTTCTCCAGATCACACTCAAATTAACCACTGAATTTAACAGTCGCCTAAAAATTCAGGTAGAATTAAATACACTACAGATCATGACCAACTCTGTAATCAGAATTTTTAAATGTACTAGATCAAATACGCAACTACATATTCAAAAAGATTTGTCATAACAATGGGCACATAAATATCAACATCTCTGAGAATCTACCAGAAGGAAACTAAAACTACGCCGAGGGAGAATAAACAGCCATTGCCGCGTAAATCCCGTAAAGCACTCTATAAATAGTAGTCCACTTTATAGAATATTTAAAGGGGCATCTGATTATGCATACAAAAGTTAGAAACTCTAGACTATTGTTTAATGAAAACGAAACCACACTGAGAGAATGGGCGGGAAAACACTTTGTGTGAATATTATAAGAAACATTCACAATCATTTTCTTGTCACTTATGAGATTATTGATGAACAAGACTCTCCCTGGTAGGGAGAAAAATTATTCTTCATTTATAAGTAATCGTAAACATTAAAAGCTTTCGCTTTTGGTGGCTAGTTGTTGTCTTTCGTTCTTGTCCCTCAACTTCCGCTTATCACAAATGTTCTTTCTTTAACAAGCGCAGTATTTAAGTTGCATCAATATGTTCTATTAACTGAAAAACTTAATTAGGAAAAACTTACCCAAATTTTAACCTCCCTACGCTATTCAAATGTAAAAACAGTCGAACTAAATGCGAAGAAAACGTTTTGTGGTTTGTAGTTGTCATCTTAACCTCGTCTCAACGGGAAACTGTGTCAACAACCTTGTTGTTTGAGCAGTTTCAGTCCAGTGTTCAAATGGATCTATGATAATTGGTTTGTATTATTTATGACATATCCCAAGTTACACTTGAATGTGAAACAAACTTCGTGCAAAAGGTCAAGTCAGATACATTATGAAGTGCTACGGGCCTCAGCTTATGTATGTAAGCGGCATAGTTTTCTGGCGCGCGATGCGATTGCCATTGAGGCGTTTTCAACATTTTAAGGTTGGGAAACGAAACCATTTACATTTTCCAGATCACTTAATTCTTTGTTATTGTCAATGACATGTAAAAGTGAATATGAATTATTGAACCCATACATCTTCAACGTCTTTGAGGAAATTGTTCATAATATTAGCGACAAGTGTGTTCAAGCGTGAGCCGAACCATAAAAGCGCGTAGTATCGCGGATTACCTCACAGTCAAAGGGAACCTACCAGAGCTAAATTCTTCTGAATGTATCCTCCCAGGTAGCAAGTTAGAGACAGTTTCAATACGAATGCATTTGTTTGAGTTCCTTGGCTTGTTGAAACAGTGAAATATGATAATGATGTGACCACGTGTTGTCATATTAAGTTCCTAAAAATGGCTCAGTGATTAGCATTAAATATTTTTCCTCCTTACATTAGGAGAAGTTGAATTTGCATGTAATCTAAATCGACATTCAAAAGAAAGTTTCTCATGAAAAAGTGTTGGGCTCTTGTATGCTGTATTTTTTGACTAACATCAGTTCAGAATAGCCAACTGAAGGCTAGATTCGTTTAGGAATGCAAATGTCATCACTTGGAGAACAAAGTTCAAAGTTTCGATAATTCCGCCACGTTTCTAAGAAATGCAAACTGATGCAATGTACAAAGTCTTAATTATAGCTCTTTGTGTTTGCCCGTGCGTCCTTGGTAAACTAGGAATAAGTTACAGCATTCATACAACAAGCTGATGCTGATATTTCTTTATTCTTGTATAAGCGACAGTGAAGTTTTAAGACACTTGTAATGAAACAAAGATAATGCAAATACAAGCTCCTTCTCTCTTCTCCAGATCATACTAAAATCAGTTAACCACTGAACTTAACAGTCCTTTATCATTTCAGGTAGAATTTTATATACTACAGATCATGACCAGCTCAATCAGAAAAGAGGACCTAAATAACAACATTTCTTAGAGTCCTTCGGAGGAAACTGCGTTATCAAAGAAGATGAAAACATTGCCAGCAATTTGTTTGTTATTAAAGGGAATAAGATCTGTTTGCCTTGTCTTTCGTCTTCTCTTTTCGGCGTATGTACATGTAGGAATTCAGTATCATGAGGAGACATTTATTTGTCAACTCTTAATTCTGTAAATCGCTATACACGAATTACTCTACTTCAGAGTAATTTAAAGGAGCCCCGATTAAGCGAACAAAAGCTCGAAAATACTGACGATCTTTCGATGAAAACGAAACCAAACTGAGAGAATTCCCAGCAAAACACTTTGTGTGAAAAATATGAGCAACATGTACCCCAAGTACCACGATTTCCTTGTCACTTACGAGGTGATTGATGAACAAGACTTAGTTTGGTAAGTTTAGAATAGAATTATTCTTAATTTAAGTAATTATAAACACTTACAACTTTTACTTTGGGTTGCAAGTTGTAAATCATATTTTTCCGTTCTTGTACCTCAACTTCCGCTTATTACAAATGTTCTTTGCATCGATTCAGTACGCCGGTTGTTACTCGGTCTACACTGAATAAGCCGACTCTAGGTTTCGGTTTCCTATTTATCTATTTATCGACAATATCCAAAGTGTGTAAGCCTTCGCTGCTTGACAGTTTGTGTTATTCCTCTACAGTCATGAAAGCGATGTCGAGCGTTAGCTTCGAAACGGGTCGTTCCGCGAACGTAAGAAATGCCATAACATTGCCAATATTACTCAAAACAATGCTAAACAAACTCAAAGCAGTCTCGAGGATAATGTCAAAAACAATGCCAAAGATACTCAAATGAACTCGAATAAACTCAACTGTACTTGAGCACTTTCGAACAAACGAACAACTACCAACTGTTTAGTAAGAAGGGACTTCATTGAGGACTACTCTGAGGAGACAGTCAGAGAAAATATTTTAAACAACCGTCATTGACGCCATATTAGAATCTTTCAAGATGACATTTAATGCGTTAACAGAATCAGAAGTCTGACTTACCGGGTATATCAGTGGCAGTAAGAGTAAGTTTCTTATTTAATGTATTGTTTTTCTTAATAATATGAGACAGTTTCTTTAACAGTCTATCGTTTCTTCAACTAACATTAGCTAGCCTGTTCGATCATTATGTACATGCTTACAAAATTTCATAACTTTCTTAACAGACTTAGGTAAACCCTCTGCAAAATGGCTGCGATGCGTTTGAAAAGCTGTCCAACCATCAGTTTTTGTTCATCCTAATCAAGAGGCACATTTATTACAGGAGTGTAGGCCTCGTTATGCTAAATTTCTTACCCATCAGTGTGTTGAGCACATTAGCCTCGTGTTGTTTCGCCTGATCTCTACCAAAGTAGAGTCCCAGTCATACAACTTACACGTCTTTTGCACAAAAGCAGAAAAACACGGATAAAGGTTTGTGAGTTTGTCGTAAAAATATGCCTATGTCATCTAGAATGCATTGCTTTGTCAATAAATGTAATTTGTATCGCGAAGAAGTAAAGCATCCCAAAAGTTATCATCGAAAGTTGAAGAGAAAACCTAACTCCTGGTATTGCTTTAGCAAAAAGGAGGAAACTATGGTCTAGACATTCACTTTTTATCTTTCATAAAAGGGCAAAGAATGCCAAGTTTACTTGTCCTCCAATGTTGACAAATCCAAGTTCACAAAAAAGTACTGCCAGCAGTTTATCCCATGTTTACAGGACTCTCAATCACAGAATCATTCACAATAAGTTTATCCTAATTGGAGATGTAGAAAAAATCCTGCTCGTTATACAGTAATTGATTTGAAGATAACAATTTCTGCTTTACATTCTCATGGTATTACTGCAATGTTTGAGCAAAAATGGTGGTCGTCAATGTGAAGCGATGTCACTGAGTGCATTGATATACAACCATAAGAGTTCAGTAAGATCTTCAGCAGACCCAGTATACATTATGAATACCTGGAAAGAGTTATATTCTGTCCAGTCAAGATTGTACAGCCAAGTTTTTTTCTATTGATGGAACTACCCAGTATGGTAACAATATTAAAAACTAATTACCTAATGGAATACAGTCCAAATTATATTGTTAACATACACGATGTCCTACCTACTGCTGTTTTCATTTATTGTATGCCTTTGGGTATTGCTTCGCAAATTTTGATCGGAGATAATTTCCAGTCATTTGTAGTTAACTATTCCATGTAGTAGAGTAGCTATTTATTGTTATGGTGACCAGGGACTTAGGATATCTGATTCACATGCCCATGATACATTAGGCCTCCGTCATTTTAATGGTATTTGTGTACTTCTAGATTTTGAACTTATTTTAGGTGTTTAAGTGATTGTTTGCACTTTCAAGGTCCTTATGCAAAGATACTGTTTCTGTGTGACACATAACTAGCCCGAGTAAACGCCTGTAGGCATCTACTATGAATTTAAACTTCATATGGAAATATTTAACAGGGTTTTAACCTCCCTACGTTATTCAAATGCAGAGACAGTCGAACTAAATGCAAAGAGAACGTCCAGTGGTTTGTAGCTGTCTTCTAAAGCTCGTACCAATTTGGAACTGTGTCAATGAACTTATTGTTTGAGCAGTTTCAGTCCAGTGGTCAAATAATATTTTATCATTGGTTTGTATTATGACATATCCCAAGTTACACTTTCAATGTGAAACAAGCTTCGTGCAAAGTAGAAAGTCAGATACATTATGAAGTGCTATTGGCTTCAGTTTATGTATGTAAGCGGCACAGTTTTCTGACGCACGATGCGATTGCGATTGAGGCTTTTTCAACATCTGAGGGTTGGGGAACGAGACCATTTATATTTTTGGATCACATAATTTCATACTTACTGTCAATGACGGGTAAATTCAAAGATAAAATCTTGAACCTCATATATCTTCAACATCTGAGAGGAATTTGTTCATGATGTCTAAGGCAAGCGCGTTCAAGCGTGAGCCAAACTACCGAAGCGCAGATTGTATCAACCTATAGATCTGCGGCAGTTACTTCACAGTCAGGGAAACTTACCAGAGATATACTTTCTGAAGGTATTCTCCTTGATGGAAAGTTAGAGGTAGTTCCAAGACAAATGGATTAGTTAGAGCTCCTCTTCCTCGTGACAGTCTTTCAAGTTAGGCGCCTTTCAACAATGCTTCGCTTACTAAATCAGGGACATCATAACGTTGTGACAACGTGTCAAGTTTTTATTGGTGTAGTTCAAATGGCCGTGTGGGTAGCATTTAGTTCATTGCCCCGTCACACAATTGCTGTGCTCGCTAGACTATTTCTCTGATGAGGGGGGTGAACGGATCGGCGGACTCTGAAAATTATTTAACCCAGATTTCGGATTCGGAGCGAAATTTTAACGGATTTGCGGATTCTGAAATTGCAGCGGTTCGCGGTTTCGTCGAATTTTTTGGGTCCGGATTTTTCGTATCGTGGATCTGAACGATCGTCAGAAATGCGTTGTTTCTGAGTATGTGGATTTTTTTTGTCACGGACGAGACTCGCTGCATCTCACCCATCAGGGAAATTGTAACGCACTATGGTCGGAAAGGACGCTGTGACATGTTGTCAGCGGGACGTCTGCTGTGTTCGCGCTCTTATCCGTGACACTGTATCGTACTGGTTGCGTTTGGCTCGATATGAAAGCTATGTTCTTTGGCGCTGTTATTGTCCAGCTTTCCCGGAAGTTTTTCATAGAGTATATTGGAAGTGATTTCGTAAGTGATCTGTACCTGAATTCAAGCAAGATAACATCAGTTAAATGCTTACACACTCTGAAAGAACGCTTTGGTTTGCCATTTACTGGAACACTGCTAGAGGTACGCAAAGAGGCAAGCAAATTTTTCAAGAGGAAAGGGGAAGAATATACATCACCTGGACATGACAAACTCCGAGTAAACTTCATGGATAAAGCTATCGAAGCGCACGTTCAAGCGTATGACGGATATGGGGATCGACTGGAATTCCGTTGTCAGCCTTTGCATGAACCGAGGAACAGACAGGGAACGATTTATAAGATCAATTGTTCCGACTGCCAAGCCTCCTACATCGGTGAGACTGGCAGAAACCTCACAACAAGACTGACTGAACACAGACGGGCGACGAGGAAAGGTGATGTCAGCAATCACATTGCTGAACACCATCGACTTACCAACCACAACATTGACTGGGACTCTGCGCAATGCCTAACCTACAGCACTGACTATTTTCAACGACTGACTCTGGAAAGCTGGTTTACTAACTTAGAACAGACTCCCCTAAACAGATGTCAACAACTACCCGCCCCATACAAACGACTCATTCACGACATAAACATCACAAACGACCGAAAAAGAACAACCTAGC